CTCTTACACAATTCATTTGATACTACTCTACTGCTCCACTACTACAGTGCCCTAGCAGAATAAAATTAGCATCACTGACATACATAAATAACATAGAGCTGGTGGCTACCAGGGCTGTTGGCGCAAGTGTGATATGGCTTGCTCATTCAGAACTTCTCATGGGTCTGAAGGAGCAGATGATTGTATTTGAGAACATACCCTGGAAATTAGTGAGCAGTCAAGGCTGGGGGAGTACTTCTGGTGATACATCGGGCTCCCACAGTGCATTTTATCCTTGGTCTCATGTTCACAAAGGACAGAATGTATTTTGGGAGTTTGTGCTTATTGCCCAGCTTACACCCTGTTAACCAGACACTGTACAAATGTTCATTTTATTCTCCTATCTATCAGGGCACTGTAGCTCTTTTAAAATCTAATTTTCAGAACTATATCGGCCTTTCTGACATCCTGTAGATTGAACACAGCCTTAAATATTTAACACACAACAATATTCTGTAACCTCTATGCACAAATCAGCCTAATGCTTTGGTAGCTGAAGTGCTGTGATATTTATGAGATCCGCCTTTAAATATTGACATAGTTAACATACTGCAGGTTTATTTTGAAATGACCTTTGCTCACCAGGAGCAATTAAATAAATTTACTTCTGGTTGTAGATTTTTATATAATGCTTCGTTGAGTAAAAATAATTAGATATTTGCCTTAACTTGAGGAATGCTCATAATATATTATGTATAGAAAGTCATTCCTGATAGAGGGACAATTCCATGGGATTGAAAAGACAGGGAAACCCTAATGAACTGCTGCCATTTTGATCGGAATGTCTTTATTCTAATTCCTGTGATCTCCATCTTCGACTGTGTATGAAACATGTTCTCTGGCTTTTATCTGTGTCATTCTTGACCGCATTAATGTTAGCCTAACACTTATTTGTACTGATTTGCACTATATGGAATGACACCTTCCTTCTTTTTCTTGATAGTAGATTATCCATACAGCACTGGAAAATCCTTGCTCTGAGCATATTTTGCGTCACGCTTTTTTACCATTAGTCCTGTAGTTAATAACGGGCATCATTAAGGTAAACCCTACGAGCCCCACCTTGCCTGAAAGCTCATCCTGACAAATTCCAATCCCACAAGCTGCTTGTGCCAACAGGACCCGAACTTGCTTCCGCAGGCGTTAACCAGAGATTCCCTCTCCCTCTCCCCCTCCTGCCCGCAGGCTTCCAGAGCGGACATCTGCCCATGGGGGCTTCAACTCCACCATCACTGAATACTGTACGGAAAAGACAAGAATGACAAATCTAGCTGCATGAAGTGTGCATGAGGGACACACACCTACGCTTCAAGCCGATGATGGGTTTGCAGAGGGCCGAGACTCTGTCATGGAAAGTTAAAGGTCAAGGGCGTGTGTGGTGTGCTTCAGGTATAAAACTACCGATAGAGTTAGCCTAATGTTTTTGCTCTGCTCGTTTTGAATGTCCATGGCCATCACTGTGGAATGTGAGTTTAGCTCCCAATGGGGCTCTCTCCCTCCCTCTTCCTTCTTTACCCGTATAGAGGATGCCACATGGCAATCTGCTTCCTGGGGTTGTTGAGCATCTGCTCCCAGTGCTGCAGCCCCGTGCCGCTGGCCTGCAGCCCCAGGGAGCAGTGGCCCAGAGACTGCTGCTCGCCGCCCCCGCCGGCCTGGTTCAGCACCTCCAGGTCCAGGCAGGACTTGGACAGCAGCTCGTGGGGGACCTCGAACATCATCATCTCGTTCCACACGGGGTTCATTTTGTGCTTCACCCTCCGCGTCTGCTTCTTCTTCAGCTTGGTGGACTGGTGCTTCAGGGCCAGCTTCACCGAGATGTCTGCGGAAACAAGGGGATGTTGCCTCACATCGCGCGCGGGGCGAAAAAGCGAGCTGGAGCGGACGTGTCTGGGATTTAAGGAAATCCAGGTATGCCATGCACATAGGTCGGTCACTTTCCCAGTTACAGGGGCACTGCTGTCCCAGCTCCTCAGACCAGTAATTAAACAAATTCATTGATGTTTTAGAAAAATTTGACAAATTTCGAATTAAGCCCAAAATCGTGAACTTCGTGAATCGTGAAAGTACCATGTTGTCAAAAACCCCTGGTCTCACCACAGGCGGCAGTGAGAGCTCACAAGAATTGTGACATGAAGCAGCCCTTCCTGCTCACTAGTCACTGTAATGACTCGTGTAATGTAATGTGATGTACGAGCGAATCAACACAGTTTGTGCAGCCGACATTCACTGCAGAAATGTTCCAACGTGATCTGCATGCAGAGTTAAAAAGTAAGTAGTATTTTTCAGCAAAAGTATCTAAAAAATCGAGAGCAATATTTCAATTGGAATAACAGAGGTGTATTCACAAGCCTGCTTGTTTACAACTTAATAAGGCCGCTTCACCTTACCAGATGTTTTCTTGCCTTGTTCTGAATCGCACAATATGGTGCTGCGCATATGCCTAGAAATTGTCTATTTTGTGATGGATGGAGTCAGAGTAACGTACCTATGACGTCTTTCAGCTTGTCGGACTGCAGGCCGCGTGCCTTCATGACCACCACTCCTAGCCTGTTTGCGGCCGGCAGGTAGCTGATGGACAGCAGGATCTCTCCCACTGAGGCGCTCAGCTCCTGGAAACACAAGAGTGCCTGGTTACCTGTGGGGCCTGGTCTTCAGTCAGACAGGTCCCGGTTTAACAGTGATCTCCGCCACCCGCTGAACACCTGTGACCTTGCAGTGCTGTCAGTGAGAGGCGCCATTTTACTCCTCCCATCAGTGCTGCTAAGTGTAATAGGAGCCACAGTGCAAAAAATGGCTGAATAGCAAATCTGATAGATGGTACCATACATGAAGGTGTATGTGAAAAGAAATACAGTGCCTTCATAATATTGTCAGTCAACAAAACATGGGAAACTGTGTTAACTTTACATTCCATTTGGTTCTAGTCAATAGATATTCATTGATGCAGAGTGTCTCCCTGTCTTAAACATCTGCTTTTCCTCCAGGACACTCATATTAATAGCAAATTGGTCCCTGAAGTGCTGTATTCAAATTATCCACCACTGAGGAGAAGCTGAATAACCTGTTCAGCCTAAACCCTGGGTTACAGGTTGATCAAATTAATCTCAGCTAAAAAGTCATGGGATCTCGCTTCTCTTACATTCAATAGTCACTGTGTTTGCATTATCGAATCCAACTTCTGTCTCTTTTACTTTCTAATGAAAATATTATGCATAGCTGCTCCTCTTAGTAAGAGGCAACATTGTTTTTATTTTGAATTTCAGTGATGTTCAATTCAGATGAATCCGGCTGCAGTCATTTAAAGGTGTTATGTTCCGATTTGAGACCCTCCTCCGTTTTGAGACATCATCCGTAAAAAAAAATGTAACAATGCAAACCATTTCACCTTTGGTTTATGTAATCAACGTGTAGACAGGAAAGAAAAAAGGAGATGTAGAAATGAATATTAGTCACCTTGACAGCAGCCCACAGTCATGACACTGTGACTCAGAGAGAACGATTTCAATATGATGAGCATCAAAAAGTCATTTCTCTGCTCTGGTATGGTATGTTGCTTTTCTTTTCACTAAGTTAGAATCCCACTAATTTACTAAGGTTTTCAGTGTCATTAAGACTATTCCTTGGAAAAGGTTAATCAAATTAGAGACACAAGTAACAAAGTTCTAGCCTTCAACGGCAAACTTCTTTAATGAAAGGTGTAATTTCTGATGAGAATAATAATAAACACAGCTCGTTACAGCAGTGCCTCAGTTCTACATCTCACTTTTGCTAAGTTAGTTTTGCTTACTTGTCTTGAGTGGCCTCTGGAAAATGGACTTGAACCATGAACCTCCCAGTAGCAAAACCCTGTTGCCGTTAACCCCTAGAGCACCTGGGTCTCCTTTGAAAGCCTTTCTTTTTGAAACAGTAAGGTTATCGGTTTAAAATCTGTCTGGCCACCCCACTTCCACCCCCAATCTGTGGTGGTCAAGCAAGGTGAACAGATGATAGTCCTCTTCTTCCTCTGAATCCTCTGGCCCAGCTGTGGGACTTGCAGTGTCTCTTCTAATAGATTCTAGATTCTAATAAATTCTAATAAGAGTATAGGTGACTTACAAGTTTCCATAGATACATCCCGATTCTCTGTTGGAACAAACAGGTTTCTTCAGAGAGGTGAGACATAGCTGTAGAAATGTTTAGGTTGTATTCTTACGCACAATGAAGGAGGAGCCTAGCCCTGGAATGGACAACTTGGCCCAGTCAATCAGCCTATCAGCATGTTCATAAAAGGCAGGAAGAAGTCCCAACGCCTAGAAAAAAACTCTCATCAAAGGGGACAAGATGCAAACTCAGGAATTCTCCACTCAGGAATGCTCAGAATTGAATCCACTGTGAGGCTGTTACCATTACCAGGCTCACTGGTCGGGACACTGTCGCCTAATAGTGGCAGGAGCTTTTCATGCCTTCTGACCGTGGGGGTGGAAGTGGTCACAGCTGTGTACGGCAAAAAAGGCACCAGTCACTCATGAAGAACAAGATTCCAAACCACTCGAAGTCTGTCTCGCGGCACTCAGTCAATGTCTCCTGCGATTTTACGGCCCAAATTAGCAGCGTAACGAAAGGAACTGCTTGGCTGACTTTTATGAAGATCATCTCGCGGGAAAGCTGGGCCATAAATATTTCAGTGCTTCACCCAGTCGAGCTGTGATCACGGCTGAGCTGTACATCAACACTGGAGGGGCAGATCAATGCTGGAAGGCACAGAGCTGGCAAGGCTCTCAGCAAGACCGCTGCTCCTTCTCCCTGGCCCTGCGTTAATGGAGGGCAGGGGAAAGTAAATCGGTTCGCGTGTTTCTCAAAATACAGTTTTCTATTTAAAAAAATCTTCTCCATCCTCCTTGCTCGGTGGAAGCCAGCAATTGTGGTGCTGTCAGGTTCCTGCTCATCACTGTTTCCCCTTTTAGGTTAAGACATCTTGAAATGTAGGAAAAAAGACCTTAGCAGTTATCCAGCACCAATGCTGCTGTGTAGCCCTATGGCATGGTGTTCGTCTATGAACATATTGGTTGAATTAGGAATTCCTGCATGTCACATTGAATGTATTACAAGTGGGCACAGGAGACAAACACATAGAACCACTGGCGTCAGATGGCCTGTCATTAGAATTCCAATAGCCTGGAGGAAAGGCGTGATGATGTGTATCTGTGTATCATTGACTGCCAGCAGTTCATAAAGAATCTCGGGCCGAATGATGAGACAGGCTTTGACGCAGCTGAGCCTGTGATGGACAGAGCCTACCGCACTGTTAGTAAGAAACAAAATGACCAAAAATGCTTGCTTTTGTATATCAAAGAGCATCACAATCTCTTTGATTTAGCAGTGATCGTAGAAAAAGACATTTCCGTTTTAAGAAGTGATTTGTGACGACTTGTTATGTTACTGCGATTGCATTCTCTTGGGAGTTCATTTAGGATGTTTGTGGGACGTGCATAATCAGCAGTCTCAGGAATGCCTAAAGGATTTGATATCTGAATTACTTGTTCCAATAAGCCCAAACTTTTCTATGCATGCAGGGAGGGAGGACTAGACAGATGAGCAGATTGAGAGACAGACAGGCAGATGGACTCCCAGCTCACATCGTGATCGTATTTCTGTCCTCTCACTCTCCCACACAGACAGCGTTTTTCAAGCGATGCCAGTTACGCAGGAGGGAGTCTTGCAGCACCGAGCCGTGAGGTAAGCAGATCCTCTCGGAGGGAGCTGCTTTTATAAATAAACCATCGCGCTCCTCAGAAATATTGTAGGAGGATAATGAAAAATTGACAAGGCTCGGAGTGCAAGAAAAGCCCTCGTCTGTTATGTGCACCGGCTTTGCCTTCCCATCTGCTTCCCTTACTGTCATCGTGACGGTGGTTGCCTGGCCACCTTCTTTTTCAAGGGAAAAAGTCAAAGTATTTCTCTTTTTTCGAACCGACTTATAAATCATTCATGCCCTTCCTTCTGCAGAAAACACACGAGCCTCTCAATTTGGAGATGAAATCCCCTGACTGCAGCCCTATGCTGTCTCAGTCTCTCTGCCTCCTTCTTCAGCTTTTCCTTCTCATCTTTTTTCGTATATTTCACCCACAGTGCACACACACTCACATCCCACCACACTCCCACCCCCCTCCCCACCCCGAGTCCCTGGCAGACCCAGTGTTTTCAGCATCCCTGCCAGCTCTTTCACTCTCCTGAGTCCCTGATGACGCAAATTCCTCTCGCTAGCACCATCTTCTACGCAACACGAAGGCAGTGTGCTTCTGAAAGCTGAACCTCTCTACCTTCACCTCCTCCAGCCGGCTGGGAAACGAGCTTCATCAGAGCAGCGCATGGAAATCTTACAAGTCCTGCTCGGTTTATTTGTTTGCTTTTATTGTTAATCGCCGCACACAGAAGCACAGGAGGTCCTGCACCGATTATGGCTGGGGAGAGAGGACCGCAATCGCTCAAGGAGACAGGACGCTCCTGGCCCTTCTCCCCAGTGTCCTGAACATGGCATCACAGGAGGCTGCTATTCTGCTGGCACTGTGAGTGCTGTGATTTAACCCTTCAAAGGTACACTGCAATGTGCAGTTCATTTGGTCAAGAAAGTAGCTGGGTTCTTGTGTTTCTTTTCTTCTCTTCTCAGCATGGAATAAACCTTCCTTTGCAGCCTATGCATGCTGACACAGCCCCCTATGTGAACTACTTTTACCCTAACTTATACTACACCAATACCCCCCCTCCCAGCATTTCCATAGTGAAGGCAGAAAACAAAATTGAACAGTTAAATAAGTCAATACATCAATCCCTCAATTCCATTTCATTGTTTTAACTGCCATAGGAGAGCAGGATCCCAAAGACAGCCTGAGTGATTATTGACGATTGATGGTTGATAATTGATAGTTTGTTATTGATGATCGAATGTTGATGATTGATTATTGATAGTTTGTTATTGATGATTGATTGTCGGTTGTTGGTTATTTCACAGCCCACGAAGAGATCGGCCCTGGCCCATTCTGACCCCCAGAGAGCTAAAGTATTTGGATCTTAAAGAGAGAGACGGGGTACCTGCTTAGGACGCTGGAGGTCGACCCAGCAGTCGGCGTCCGAGAGCATCCCCACGTCGGCCAGTTTGAATCTCACCACGCCCAGGTTGGCCTGCCTGGAGTAGCGGTCACAGCTGTACAGGGACAGGGCGATCTCCCCTTCCACCTCGTAGCCCTCTGGCAGCGGGAACCCCAGGGGCTCCTCCCAGAGGACGTGGGGTGTCAGGCGCCTGATGGACGTCTGGGCCTCCTTCCTGCCCGTCTCGGTCGTCATCAGCCCCACAATGTAGCCGTCTGTCCCCGCCTCCACGCTCACGTGCTCCGCTTAGTGAGTTAAAACAACAGAGCAATTCAGTGCTCGGCTGGCAGGTTTGAAAGGTTGAAGACCTGCGCTGCACAGAGAAAAAGGGGGTGCTTTTTAAATAAATCCTTTAAATGCCATCCTCTGTGGGCTCTCCATCCATTCCTATGTGCATTGATTTAACTAAATGTAAAGGTTTAAACCTCAAACATAATATCAATAAGGAAGGCTTTACAGAAAAGGCTTTTTTAGAAAGAAAAGCAATGATAGGAAACTTCAGGTCTGGTTGGTTTAAAACCACAAACCAGTCATGGACAGAATAATTAGGATAGCATTATTGCTACCATGTTGTTTGTGTATTGTCTCTCATTCTAGTGAAGAATAACAATTACTGATTCTTACAAAATATCAGGGCAGAGGGTTGCACTGAAATGCAAAGAAGCAAATTTGAGGCTTTGCTGCTGCAACAGACTCGGTACGCAATTTTGCATGTTTCGGAAAATGCTCAAAGTTTCAGCACAATGTGTTTAGCCCCAAAAATTACAACAGGCAGCTAGTTCCCTGTGGCCACAAGACCAGAAACCTCAACTCATTTCCCCATGAAACCCTAGTCTCAAGCTAAGCGCGCCCCAGAACGACAGGTTAGATCTGTCTCAACCCTGAAGTCGCTGCAGAAGGAGATTCTCTGGAAGAACACAATGATCTGACTTGCCTGTGGGTTAATGCTGCATGGGGAATACAGGAGCATGCTGAAACAGACTTACAGTAAGTGCAAGTCTCAGGCAGCCTTCTTCTCGTCAGTGCTCATATAAATCTGCACCTCTGACAGTGTGGCGCAGGCTCTTGTCAAGCAGCTAGACTGTGCCTACATTTGTGTCAAGGTCAGTTAGAATCATGTGGACTTTTCTGTTTTGGCTTGCTTGTGTCTTTGTTATAATTGGGAAGCTCTCTGCAGACAGTCAACAAGATGTGCCCAGGAGTCCTGTGATTATTTCCAAGAGCACTTTTCTTTTTGCTGTCAAGTACTGCTGCTGTCTCGTTAACTCACTAGAGAGAGGAGAACGTTTTCAACATGAAACACCTGGTGAAATGCGGCTCACACTCATATCTTATAGAGTGCAAGCAGTCATTAACAAACATGCAATAAACAGATGGTTTGTGTGGCTTTAACCAAACCTTTGGAAATGCATTATTAAATCTGAAGCAAAGCTCAATACTAAGAAACATCCACTGACATGAATCAAATGAAATTATATTTCGAATTTCATTATGAACTACTCTATGTACTGTAAAGTAACTTTGACCTGTTCTCCCACATCTATGTTCTTCTAGGTTAATTCTAAATTTGAGTTAATATCTGGTAAATGATGGTCCTGAAAGAGTCTTGATTTAAGAAGTAATCCTAATGAAGTTTATAGGTGCTACAACTCAGACGAAAGGCAATATATTTCCATGTCTCATATCAAGCTCTTTTTAGAGATTGTTAGGCAAACAGAAATGACATTAAAAATGTCTTCCTCTTAGGCCCTAGTGCTCAATATGTCCCTTTCTGCGCAGTATGGAATATTATAATCAGTGCACTTCTGGGTGACTAAAGAACTGACGCAAGAGAGCTGGCTGGCAAAGAGCAGTAAAAAATTGAATATGAAATGAAGACGCTCTTAAGCACACCGAGAGAATGTGAGATTCCTTCCCCCTCTACATAATATTAAGTAAGAGCAAACCAAACCTTGGTTAGCAATCAATAAGAGATGAATGCCTGTTTTAATAGGCCCTAGCAGTAGACTGTCGATAAGTACATTTAACAAGTCTGAACAGCTTACACCAACAATCAAACACAGACCCCAAAAAAACAAAGTTTTAAATTCAGTCAAATGTGTCTATGAGCTAAAAAACAATCTAGAGCAATGTTTATGTTACCGTTTACTTGATCGTTTGCAATGATCATTTTTTAAAAGCTACAGCTTGTCCTGATTAAAATATAATCCTAATTTGCATTGAATACCAGTTGAGAGAGTTTAGCTGTAAAGAGAGTAGTTACAACTGATTATTTATTCAGTCAGCATGCCATGCAAATTAGGACAGCAGTTTGAAGCCAAATATAAATGACTGCTCTAGATAAAGAAGGCCACAGATGAAGAAATATACTTGGGATGCTTTTTTTTGTTTAAAACTGTTGTATTGTCTGTTGTATTGTCTGTTGTATTGTCAAGCCCCACCTGGTAATTTGGTAGCAATATAAATTTAGTAAAGGCCTTAGCACTCACTTTTAAGGTTAATTGAATTCAATTTCAGGAAAACCTTGACATCCTGCGCTGTGTCTGGGGAGTATGGGGGCAGGTGGCAAGCCTAGAGTCACTGCTATCAAAGCCTTAATAGAGTCTTTGCTTCAGTTGAAGTATACTGTGGAATGGTACTGTAAACAATCGTTTGAAATCAGGGAACACAGGGCACTAACTCATCTAACTCTCCGTGAATAAAAGAAAAGTAAATTGATACTTTTATCCACAAATATTGGATACTGGGTGTCCTTTAGCTGTGCTGCAAATTTACATCTGGTAGAAGTCACAGAATAACAGTGTATTTCACTGTTTTCTTAGACTTTGAGAGCCAGAATAATTTAGGATTTCTGTCAACTGTTTACCTGTAAATAAAGACAGAATAATCACTTCAAAAGAGATATGAGGGCATTTAAATCTTAATACTCTGTACTCTGTGCATCCTGGTTTGGTTGTGCTGGACACAGTGGCCCTGTAACTGTTCCAGGTAAAGATGATTGATTTAGGTGTGCATTTAGATGCAATTCAGCAAAGTATTAATCCACAGTTATGGAAATACAGGTACAGCAGACAGACATTAAATGCACATGTGCATGTGGAAACATACTGACTCTGCTGTGGGCAGAGATGCTCATTACCTTCAATGACTGTGACCTGCAGCTCCTTCTTCTGGGTGTGGTAGGTCAGGGAGAAATGAAGTTTCGGATTGAGCATGGAGCTGCTCGTTTTCATCTCCCTCTTCGCTTCCTCGGAACTAGGAATGCCATCGATGGAGTCTGGAATTCATTGTTTATAAAAATAAATGGTCATGAGCTCAATAGGTCCAGTTCCCAAACCTTGGGTCAGTGTGGGACTTGGATCCCGGGTGAGATGTTCCTGAAAAAGCTTCCATTTCAGGAACATCATGGATTTCATGGGAAGTGTCCATCGCAGAGCTCTCTTTCAATGAACTTGTTCTTAAAAGACCTAGGCACACCTGGGCCCAACACCAGCAGCAGTAGCACACAGTGTAGATGGAATCATAGCCTCACATGCATTTGCAAACTGGAGAACTACTACAGTAGTTGTTCCAGAAAAACGTATAAAGAAAATATTGTTGAGGTTGTATTCACCCCTATTCACTGTGGAGGGCCCTTCTAATCACTTCTCTGCTTCCTGCCCAGTGCACTCCCTCAAGCTCCCCTGTCCATGTCCTGAAACAGTTGTAAAAGTTACAGGACCTTCCCCGAGGCTCAAGAGATCATGCACCGGTGGGCCGGGCAGAGATGAATGAATGACAGATGCTAGCAGTGTAAGTACCAGGCCCTACCTCGATGACGAGGTGTGAATACAATCTTTTCTTTTTTGGAGACTTGAGACTGTTGTCCTTTATTTCTTATGTAGAGGATAACTGGGATGTTTCCCCAGTGCCAAAAACAGGAATACAAATGTGACTTCTGTAGCTATGCTCTAAAAAAACTCATTCTTGAGGGCCTTTTTTACAAGCTAAAGAGCCAGCCTCATGTGTCACCATTAAATGCCAAGATAAGGGTGAAGACAGAACATAGATTTAATCACAGAATATACAGTGGCAGGATATTGGTGGTGCAGAATGCCCTGCAGGTGATGTTCACTTGCACTGCTGGTATGTTTTTGTATGTTTCTCTGTGTGTAAAACCTAGCTCCTTTGATGCCGCAGGCATTTCTGAGAAATCAGACAATAAAGTCTTATCCTATCGCAACATTTTAGGCGCCTGTCACAGAATGCATATTCTAACGTCCAACGGTACGAGAAATTCACAAAGTCAGCCAAACCGGTTACAGGGACAGAGACCCGCAGTGGGACAGCCGACGGCACACCCACACAACTGGGCTCTAAGAGGTTCGGCTCTCCGGGTGAGACACCTGCGCCGCTGGTGGGAGACTGGGACCTGCGCCAACCTGCCGCAGCCGTTCACTGCCGGGCGCGTTACGAGCTCGCAGACCGGAGGAGAGACGCCTCTCTCACTGGGCATTGACTTCCGAGCGCGTCGCTTCGCGTTAGCCTGAAACCTCCTGGGCCGACCTCACGGAAAGCCGGGGTCTGACAGACGAATGCGGCGCTTTTCTGAATTTGCATTTTGGTCAGACGGATTACAGATTTCACTCGGGCCTGAGAGAAATGTGTTCTGCGTATATAAGAAATCACAGATGGCAAGGAAATCGCAGCCTGTTTTTTTCCTCTGAATTGAAAGTTCCTTTAGTATGGAATTCAGGCGTGGATTGACTCGTGCACATTTTCTTTCTTTATTTGGTTGCCATTTTAAATGCCACTTTGTTTATCACGACGAGCTCTTGTTTGCTTTCACCATGTACATTCAGTTAATTAGTTAATTAGTTAATTAGAAGCCTACGGTAATAAAAAAAACTCATTAGAGAATAGATAGAAAGTGATTCACCTGTAATGATACCATTAGCTCTTCATTATTAAGCAAATTATCATGTCATAATTGATAGCTTTTTTCTTGTATAGGATATCCTCAGTAGACTTAAACTCTGGCAGTGACACTACTGTCAGTGCCATACTGAGGAATGGAACTACACAACAGTCTAAATTAAATTCAGCATAATTTCCTCACTGCTCCATAAAGATAAACTGCAATTTTTGGTAATTGCTGGGACCTTCTTACAGTAGACGCTGAGACGTCTAGTGCCTTTCTAGTGTCTTAATGATATTGTAAAAGATGAAATGTCAGAGATAAAAAAAAGTTAAAACAGAAAATGAATTACGTTCAAAAGAATTAGAGGGAATTTGCTCTTTCCCTGTTGTGTTTTTTTTAATCACTAGTGCATCTACTCCTATCTGATTTACCTTGCCTGGGGATGATAAAGACCTCTTCAGATCCCTCTGTTGCTAGGTTACCGCGGCCTGGTTCTGCAGTGTTCTCAGACGTAGACTCGGCTGTTGTCTCTAAGGTGTAATCTGGGTAATTAATCACTTCTGAAGAGGTGACCACCGGCTTCGGCTTGTAAATTTTGGGAAATTTCAGCAGAGTCCTTGGCTGTATGGGCTCCGTGGATTTTTTGACGCTGAACTAGAAAACAAACGACACCCCAAGACAGCAGGCACAGGAAAAAACAAGATGGATTAATTTGAATACTTGCACTCATTTTTCACAAATAGATGCTACAGCCTCCATGTGAATATCCCATATTCCTGTTTTAAAAAGACCAAAAAAGTGTTTAAATGCATTTTATTCAATACTTCTGTGAAATGGGACAGTGTTCTCATCCTATGCGTGAGACGTCTCTGGTGAAGAATATGAATATCGAATAGAAAAAAATACATTTTACTTTTCCATTTTTGAATTCACCGTCTTAGAGATAAAGACTTCAGTAGCACGTAGCTTTTAGACCATGCCTTTCCAGAACTACTATCAACAGATCTAAGATGTTTTTTCAAATCTTTTTTTATGAAAGTGTGGTTAGAAAAAGGAGAGGAAATGGCATATTTAGGGCAGGTATCAAACTAATAGAGAGAAGTCATGTTGCGTAGAAATACACTGTAATACCACTAATCTGGAGCGCTAATAAGAGTCATTCTTATGGCCTCAGAGGTTCAGAGAACTGCTGATGGGCAAAGCAATTACAGGGATGTGTTCAATCGCAATAATTGGCTTAATTACCATTTGCTCACAAGATGAATTTGGTTGTTGTGTAAGGATCTATTTCTGTAGTGCTATTGAGATTTCATCAATAAGATCCATTATAGTGCAAATGATCCCAGTCTTTTTTTTTTTCCTCAACAAGTCTAATTTTCTCAGTTCCATATAATTAAGACAACAGTGTGAAGCAGGATGTACAGGAATCATTGCTCATATTCTGCTGATGTGAAGATTGAGATAAATTCATTGTGGCGCTTCCTCCTAATGCTGTACTTACTGGAGCTGTCTCGTCCATAATGTGAAATCACCTCAATACCTTTTTCTTCAACTAGATTAACATCGACCCGAAATGTATATTGATGTTTTCACTTGCGAACTGCTGCCGATGGGAATTGATTCTGAAGTGCCTCCACTCTGCCCTCAGCGCTGACAAGGGCTTGATGTTGAGGTGTCATGGAACGAGAGCCGTTTTCTTGTGCTTGTCAGTTTACAAAGGGAAATTTATTGGATAAACTTGGAAAGGGGATAGAATAAGAAAATGTTTTTCAAAACCTGGGGCATTAGTTGGGTGACTGGCTTCAGGAAGATAAACTGCTGTCAAACATTTCTGCTTTTGGTGTATATATATATTCTATATACTGTAATTCAACGCTTCTGTTTTCAAAAATCAAAGTATCAAAACTGTGTCAGAAAGGTAAAGTGACATCTGGCTTAACTAGAATTAGGGCTGGAGCTATGTAAGCACCTCTGGACAGAGTAAGCATTATGTGTGGCACAAATAACTTTTCCGAGACTTTTGCAAGACTCTTGAGTGCTCAAGGTAATCATGAAGGACACCACTGCCATTTCATGGCTCTTACAGTCAGAGCTGTGAGCCAGTTCGATGTTACCTGAAACGGACATTCAAGTAGAGAAAATGGCACTGGGATTGTAATGTTCAGTGTTTGCCTCTGAATTGCCTGGTGTAAAAGCAAACAACTACAGTATGTGCCTTATGCTCGCAAGTCTTCCCTCCCATCGTTCTCACAGAAACACTGTGTCCTTGCCCTCTCTCACCTAGATCCCTCTCCGGCAACAAGTATCTGCCAATGCTGAATGCAGAGCTAACGCACAGTATTTGCAGGGATTGTGCTGAAGATATGTCTGCTCTGTAATATCTGTCCATTTTTAACTGGAGGGTGGAGGCCAGCTCTCTGGAGTGTTTCCTTCTTCCTGACAGCGAAGCAGTAGTGCAGCTCTAGGTTTTTGCTATTACAGCGCATTTTTCTCACACTAGGGAATGCTATTTAATTACTCTCTACTGTATATTTCAATGCTTCCAAAACCTTGAGAATCTCAGGGGGATATAATGGCTAATGTATGCTCTCAGAGAGTACAGAGCATTGCTTTTGTAACTGGAATCCAGGTTCGGACATTAATTTCCCACCTAACTCATCATTGTCCTAATGCCTCACTTGCCTCATGAGAAACTTGTGTGCAAGGGCACATCTGCACGGTTTCCTATAAAGTATTACTGGAGACAAAATGTACTGTCAGGGCTTCTGCACTGTTACTGATATTACAATCCATCCACCCATTCTTTACTACTTATCTAGTCTTTGTGTAAATGAAATGCAATTTGTATACTGATTATAAGTGTCAGGGTGTGTTTATAACAGTAGGAGCCACCAGGCCTCCTCAGCTCTTGCCAGAACGTCTGGTTTCAGGTGCTTGCACTGCAGTTGAAAATGGTCTTGTACCAGAAACAACCATGACAACAGCGAGTTTCTCAGCATTGCTCAACATTAAAAGCAGGTGTG